TTTTTTTTCCTTTTAAGTTGTTGACTAAGTGTGTTTTCTGGTAAAAAGGAGAACAAATATGTATAAATACAAATGCGATTATATGGCGGACAAAGTCTCCTACACAAGCTTTACAGCATTTCTAAGAGGAAGCTCTTTCAAAAGAGTGCCATAGGTTCAGAAAAAAAGTTATGAAGTTTTGGTAGGATAGACATTAATTAGGAAAAAATTTTCACTCGTATATACATGTATTTAATTTGTCATTTTCAGTTTCAGTTTCACTTTGCCACTAGGTTGATTTCATAGAATTACAAATTAGACATGAAAGCTCGCATTATAGGACTGCCCTTGAAAAAATTAAACGTAGATTTTTTGTTGTCAAGACCTCAAATTTGGCCTAAACTTTTCTATGTTCAGGTTTTTGTCTTACGACACCACTATAAATATAATTCAATTTTCCGTAGTCACATGTATAATTTCAAAATAACGTGAAAAGTTCAAATGATTACCCTTCGTTTGGATTAGCTGTTTTTTGGGGTGTTTTTGAAAAATTTTACTATAATAGAGTTTTTAGAGTATATTTTGGGATATTTTTAGAAAATATTTTGGAATATTTAAGAGTAGTAGAGTTTTTAAAATATATTTTGAAAATTTTTTTAAATATTAAAAAAAATTTAGACTACTTTTTAGTGTACCTTTTAAAGTACTTTTTAAAAATTTTTATTATATTTGAAAAACAAGTTTTTGAAAAACTGAAGGACCTTTTGATATTAAAATATATATCATGTAATGTTCTCAACTTCTTTTTCTTTCACCTTTTGGCTTTTGAAAAGTAAAAGAAAAACTAAAATTAGAAGCTACAAGATGCCTACTTTTTTCTAATAATTCTAAAATTTGAATTCTAATTTTGAATTTTGAAGAATCAACGTTTACAAAATGCGAATTAATTGAGAAGAGGCTCTATCCATTATAATGTTCAAACTATGATATTAATGGAATGTTTTTGCTAGGGGGAGGGTTGGGTTAGGTAATAAGATGAGAGGGATTGTAAGTAGGAAGTTTTTGGTTTAATAACTCCAAAAAAAAAAACTTAATAGAATATTTTTGTTAAAGTACATTTTCTAAATCAAAAAGGAAATTGCACAAATACGAGCTAAAGTTTGCATTTATCTTTAGAATTCAAAAAAGTTAAATGGAAGTGCCACAGTAGTTCTTCTGTAGTACCTTAAGAGTGACAAATAAGAAAAGTGGACAAATTATCTTTTTTTTAATTACAGTTTTCTAAATAATCATGGTAGTCGTGATATATATTTTGTACAGGTCAAATTCCAGAAGATATTGGTAATCTTCAAGGCATGAGGAGATTCTGGATAGCAGGAGCTAACATGAATGGTAAGAGTGTTATCTACATTCACCTTATGTTTTAAGAGTTAAAATTATGTTTCATAATAGTAATAATCATGGTTTGTGTGAAATATATACACACATATACCTTTTATTATTGCAAGGAGAAATTCTAAGGGGAATGGATGGATTGGGTTGTAAGGAGAAGAGAGTGCCAGTAAGAGGTCTCGGATGCCTGCCCTCGAACTTACACAAAAAAAAAAAAAAGGAGGGAAAGTCTAACATCAGCCTGTCAAAGCATATTACCTTTTACCTCCCTGGTTAAAGCATTCAGCTTTAGTATCCCTTAAACTTTGAGTCTGTTTAATAGAAGATTATTTTTAAAAAAATTTTGAGCATATTATCTTTTACCTCCCTAATTAAAATATTCGACTTCACTATCCCTTAAACTTTGAGTGTGTTTAATTAGATAGAAGATTATTTTAAAAAATTTTACAATGATCAGTAGTACTTTTTATGATGTAATGTATATGAGATAAAAGACAACTTCTTGTGATGTAAGTCTGTTAGAGCATATGACCTTTTACTTCCCTAGTTAAAGCATTCAACTTCACTATCCCTTAAACTTTGAGTGTGTTTAATAGAAGATTATTTTAAAAAGGGTAAAAAATAAAAAAGTCCCTTGTGGTAAATATAATATATAGGAAAACCCCATGGTTTCAAAATGTATAAAACGGCATCTCATGTTTTGAACTAAATTGTAAAAGTAACGGAATCCATTAAAATTAACAAAAATGATTTATTGAAACCTAAAAAAAAATTATACCTAATATTTAACAAATATACTTGTTCTACCCCTTAACTCCCAATTCTCTCTCTCTAGAGAATGAAACAAATGATTTTGTTGAACTGTCTTTTGCTTAGTTATATCAGGGTATTTTTGTCATTTTGTCTGTCCCTGTTAAGTTTACGGATTCCGTCATCTTTATAATTTAATTCAAAGTATGAGGTGTGGTTTTATACGTTTTTAGACCACGGGGGATTTTTTTGTATATTAGGTTTACCACAAGAGACTTTTTGTTTTTACCCTTTAAAAAATTTTGAGCATATTACCTTTTACCTCCTTGATTAAAGTATTCAATTCCACTATCCCTTAAAGTTTGAGTGTGTTTAATTAGACAAAGGATTTTTTTAAAAAAAAATTAAAATGATTTGTAGTACTTTTTGTGATATAATATATGTGAGATAAAAAAATAACTTTTTGTGATGTCATGCATGTGAGATAAAAATGTACTTTTTGTAATGTAATCTATGCGAGATAAAAAAATAACTGAAAAGATGAGATGTAGAGATGATTGAAAAGTGTGATCATAGTGCAACCGAGAAAATTTTTTCACAAAGAATGGCATGACATTCTTTATAATTGTGTCACCGCTGTCAAATAGGGGTATATCATGTGCCTAAATTTAGAAATAGGAGAAAGAGAAGTGTTGATCTCGAACTGATAGAGTGTTAATTGTTGGTTATTTTATTATTAATTTCCCCTTTGTCCTTGCCAAATATTGTTTTAATTAGTAATATTTACTATATTTGGTATCTGGACTTAATTTCAGGGAATGAAATAGAAACTACAAAAAAGGAGGGATTTTCTGAGCAAATTACTGCACACATGGGGGCTCCCTCAACGTGGCCCACAAGAGATCAAACAAACGGCTTCCCTTTTGAGCTGATGAAGAGAAGGCTGGTACAAGGAGTCCTAGGAACATTAGGAAACAAGGAGTAATTCGGCAGGCTTTTCTTTTGAGTTTGTTTGACTCTCAATCTCGGCGGGAACCACGGGATAAGAGCATTTGGAGTCATCATTCCTTTTGGACTTTAAAATGAGAAAGAAATGTACAGAGGCTTGTGAAATGGAATTGGACTCTCAATTCGTGCGGGGACCACGGGACTAGATAGCATGAGTCATTTTCCTTTGGTTTTAAAAAGAAAACAAACGTACAGATGATGGTTTTGTTCCTAATTCGGCGGGGACCACTAGAGAAGTAGTTTTTGTTTTAGAACAGGAGAGCTTCGTTTTGTTTTTGCTTCTAGCTACTTTATATATAGCTTTGCCGTTTTCTTCTAGGGAGGACGGAAACATAGTTTTGTTTTAGAATAATTACTTCTGCAATTTTACATGGGATTTCCTCCATGAAGATGAACTAATTCATTTTTCTAGTCGAAGGTCAATTTGAGGACTCGGTTTCGAATATCTGTGAGATCTAATTATTTTACTTATTTTTTTTATTTATTGGTATTTATACGTTTACTGATTTAATTGCTTATGATTGTTTTGTTACTTGAATGTCAAGGGCCCGATATTCGAATTAACCTAATAATCTACTGTCAAATTAATTGATTGAATCCGTAATTGTTCAATTGATTAATACCAGTGGCAACTAGCGTGATTGGTTTCATGTTAGGGAAACGTATGATCTAACTTAAACAAACCCTCGTAGCGTGTTTGTTGGTTAGGATTGGGCTTTTCTAATTATTAATGCAATCGAGTAATTAAATCCTATGGTCGTACCTAGGGTTATTTTTTGGTTAGAGAAATAGTTAACGGTCGTACCTTAACTATCGAGAAATTAAGAAAAGGCTGGTTGTTCATCGCGTGTATGACAACTATAACCAATCTAGTAATGAGTAATGGAATTATCTTTGCATCGATGATCAGTTGCATGGATCGTGTCTAAAAAGTTGCACCTTTGGCTAGAGTCATATTGGTTATTGATTAATTCTTGTTTATTTCTATTAGTATTTCATTAGTTAATTAATTAGTAATTTTATATTTTCCAAAAAATCCCCCATGCACTGAACTCTAGAAGAGACGAATTATCCCCAGTCCCTGTGGATTCGACCCTGCTCACCGCTATATACAAAATCTGTATTTTTCTTGAGTAGGTAATTATTATTGCACAGGTTCGACACCCTGTCACGAACCTACCCAAAAAAAGAAGAAATAAAATAGTGAAGGTTTTGAAAAGTTAAACAAGTAATTTAGTCCTATAAAAAAAAATAAATAGTTGAGAAGTGACTAAAATGTCCAATATCACACTGTAAGCAACTCAGTATATTTCCTTCTATCATCTAGCAAGTGAATTGTAATCTTGGAATTTTCAGGCGAGATACCTGAAGCGGTTGGTTACCTTAACAAGTTGGAGGAAATAATACTAGACATGAATAGGTTTACAGGTCCCATCCCATCCAAACTGTTTAATGTGTCTTCGCTACGAGTAATATCCATGGCAGAAAATGATCTCTCGGGCAGTCTTCCCTCAAGTTTGGGTGCCATGTTACCCAATCTTGAAGAACTTTATATTGGGGGAAACAGACTAAGTGGAGTCGTACTAACATATATCTCCAATGCTTCAAGACTTGCTCATTTAGACTTTACATCTAACCAGTTCACAGGTGTAATTCCTCGTTCTCTTCGTGACTTGAGCCTTCTAAAAATTTTGTGTCTTGCGAACAACAGTTTTTCCTATGAATCTCATTCTGGGGAATTAAGCTTTTCGAATTCCCTGTCAAATTGCAAATATCTAAAGGTGTTGTGTGCTAGATGAGATTCCTTTCAATGGGTTCCTTCCAGTTTCTGTTGGAAATCTTTAATTTCTAGTAATCTGGAATCTTTATTTATGAATGATTGTGGACAAATACCAAATTCCATAGGAAATTTAAGTAACTTGGCAGACCTGAATTTGTCTCAGAATGCCTTGGAAGGGACAATTCCACCAACCTTTGGAGGGCTATTGAAACTTCAGGAAATGGAGCTTGGATATAACAAATTTCAAGGACCCTGTCCTAGTGAATTATTTTATTTATTGAACTTAGGACGATTAAGTTTGAGCAGCAATCTGATTTCTGGTAGACTTCCTAGTTGCATAGGGAATATTACTTCCTTAAGATATCTAGATCTGGACTCCAACAATTTAAGTTTTAACTTGCCCTCAAATTTGTGGAGACTCAGGGATATCTTGGAGCTTAATTTGTCCACAAATTCTTTCTGCGGTTCATTATCCTCTGAAATTGAAAATTTGAAGGCACTAATAATTGTGGACCTATCTGTCAATAACTTTTTTGGAGATATTCCCACAGCCATAGGAGCACTACAGAGTTTACAGGCCCTATCCTTGAAGCATATAGGCTGCAAGGATTTATTCCGGAATCTATGAAGAATATGTTCGAATTACAGTATCTGGATTTGTCATTTAACAATTTGACTGGTGAAATTCCCAATTCACTGCAAGTACTCCAGAATCTTGTATACTTCAATGTGTCCTTCAACAGATTTAGAGGACCAATTCCACATGGAGGACCTTTTGCCAACTTTACGAAGCTATCTTTTCTCTCAAACGAAGCATTGTGTGATGTGATGCTCCTTGGCTCCAACCTTGTCAAACTTTTGAACAAAGTTCAAGGAAAAAGACAGTCTTGTTGTGTTGTTAGCACTTGGATCAGCAGTTGTAGCCATGGTAGTTTCGTTTTTGGTGTTAAGAAAGTGGAGAAGAAAAATTGTGTCTCCATCTAACTTAGATCCAGATACAACATTTGAGAGGGTACCATTCCACGAACTCAGACAAATAACGAACGGGTTCAGTGAGAGTGCATTACTTGGCTCCGGAACCTTTGGTTCTGTTTACAAAGGAATACGAGAAAATGGGATGACTTTGGCTATAAAGGTTTTCGATTTGCAGCTCGATGGTGCATTTAAAAGCTTCGACAGGGAATGTGAAGTCTTACGGTGTCTTCGTCATCATAATTTGACTAACGTCATCAGTGCTTGCTCCAATCCCGACTTTAAAGCATTGATACTTGAATTCATGCCCAATGGAAGCCTTGAGAAATGGCTTTATTCAGGCACTCAAATCTTGAACATCATCCAAAGACTAGACATTATGATAGATGTAGCTTGTGGTTTGGAATATCTCCACTATGGTTATTCAACTCCTGTGATTCACTGTGATTTGAAGCCCAGCAATATCCTACTAGATTGAGATATGGTTGGTCATGTTTGTGACTTTGGAATTGCTAAGTTGTTGGGAGATGGAGAAAGTGTGGTACAAACAAAGGCTCTCGCTACATTCTGATATATTGCCCCAGGTAACTCTTCTTGATTGCAATTCCAATTTTTGATGTCAGTCAAATGATGTTTCCACTTTTAACTAATTAAAATTTTTTTATTCAGTACCGAAGTTCTGAATTCACGTTATTAATTGAATTTAGCAAACGAATTTAATTCAACATTGATGCTAGAGTATGGACTAGAAGGACTGGTTGCAACAAGTTGTGATGTATATAGCTTTGGGATCACATTGATGGAGACATTTACTAAAGGAGGCCTAAGGATGAGATGTTTAGTGAAGAGTTAAGCCTGCAGCATTGGGTACAAGAATGCTTACCAGATTCTGTGATTCAGCTTATGGACATGAACTTAGTTCATCTTGAGGATGGACCAGTAAAGAATAAGATAGCATGCATATCATCTATCCTGGAACTTGCTTTATGTTGTACAGCAGACGCTTCTGAGGACAGAATGAACATGAAAGATGTCCTTAAAGCACTCCAGAAGATTAAACTTCAATTCTCTGAGGGGCTCAAACCTTTGAAGCAGGTATATAACTGTTATATAAAGATAACTAAAAATTGCAATTTTTTTTTTTTTTAAATTTATGACATATCAGATAATTATTCAAAAAAAAAAGTATTTGTTGATGCATTACTTTTAAGTATCTTCTGTTCTGAATATATGGCAGAGGCGTATGGTGTAATTGTGGTGAATCCTTTCCTTTGACTCCGTGCACACCAACCAAATGCTTCAAGTTCAGGACAGGAGCAAGAAACAAATTCTTTTTGGGTGGGGGGTTTCAAAAGGGATGTTAATTACTGTATTTCCTGATGCGGCATTGCTGATTCAGGTAGCTTTTTAACAGTGGTTTGTTTGTAATGTCATCAACAATTTGCATTTTCCTCCGAAGAAATATGTTGGTGCTTAATTTTGCTACATGGTTATGTCGCTGTATCTTGAGCTTGCAAATCATATCCTGGAACTGTCCTATGAAATTGATCGTCTGTAACTCATCTTAGGAAGAGAGAGAGTCGAGATGCATGTAAAGACAGCATAAACAAGGCATGAATGGACAACTCACTTATCATAAGAACTTGATAGCCTATGCAATCTCATGAATATTGTCTTTCGAAATGGCAAGTCCTAAAAGTGTCAACGCTTGGGTGATGATAATCAAAATGTAGTCACTTCGGTTTTTAAAAATCGAAAATCATGCTCTAATCTACATTTTTAAGTAGGTTTGGTAACCTAATTATTTTAAAAGCTATGAGTTGATTACCCTATTTTTTGATTTGAATCAATTCAGCTTTCTCAGTTACTCTTTTTTTGGATTCTTTTTGGACTTCGAATAATACCCTTTAAACAATAGCCTATTAAAAAAATCTTATGAAACCAAGAAAGAAAAATAAATAAAAAATATATAGTTCATGCATGAGGAGGTCCAATCACCAACGTGGGACATAAATCTTCCCAGGCAGGTAAGTAAATTCATGACAAAATTAATATGTGAAGACTGTTTTCAACAATATATTTTCAAGAGTAGATACTACTTCATTGAGTTATGCTGGTTGGTTTGCTGCTTCAATTCCCACTTCATATAGAAACCACAAAATCTAGCATCAGTTCCTTTTTTTTTTATGCATTTTTTAGTTTTCATACATACTCAATCGTTTTACATGGACATCACCAAATTGCACGAGACATAAATGCTTTCTGTAAAATTTGAAGTAAAAAGGTAATATATTAAGCAAATTATCTTGACCTAGTACGTTAAAATATTCCATGTAAAGTAAATCAATGTTTAAGAGAGAGAGAGAGAGAGAGAGAGACTTTTATTTAATGGAGTCATTTCTCTTCCTTAACATTTAATAAGACCCTTAAAAATTTTGTATTTTTCTCAAATAATTAAATCGGGAATAGGACATTAAATTTGAATAGGACATTGCTTCAACATGTACAAAGAATTGATATAAACTAAAACTTTTTACCTATAACAATATATATTTAAGAAAGATTCAAACAATTTTTCTTAAATTACACCAAATCATGTATATTAGTGCATTAAATTATAGTTATAAGGGGCAATGATTTAAAAAATTTTGTATTGTATTTAGAGGTTTAAATGAACAATTAAAGATTAAATACAAAAAGTTTCGCTATACTCTTTAAGCGCAAGTACTTTAAAATGGAGTACATATACCTAGAGCTGGATGAATCGATACATATATATAGAATTCATAAATAAATGACGTAAGCAGCTAGGATACATAAATACATGCAAGGCACCCTCATTTTTTCATTGTTCAATGAGAATTTCTCCAAAAAAAAAAAAAAAAGTTTCTGATAAACACAAAATCATTATCTAATAAGAATTCATCAAGTTGCCCGATGAAGATTTGGTCTAAGCGGATTTCATGGTAACGTTAACTATTTTTTTTTTATTTTTTTTTTACTAGTGGAGTCATGGCGCCTATTTATCTACTTATTCATTTCTGTTATCAATTTTGAACACCCTTTACAAAATTCTCAATTCCAAGTCAATTGTTTGCGTCCATAAAGGCTTGGGCTAATTAAGTCCAAATTCTTGGGTTTAATTGTCACGTTCAAACCCTCATCTATATTCCAATAGATTCCAAAGGAGACTTGGTGGAAGGAGCCTCGGGCACGAAAAGTTTTTGTTACCAACCTTTTGAAAAATCAGTCTATCTCAACTTAATTATCGTTTTCTAAGTGTGGTCTGTTCAAAAGCGTTCAAGATGATGGCGAGTCTTGATACTCATTTCTTGCACTTTCTGTCAATCTTGTGTTTCTCATTTCTGATGCACCAACCATAAAAATAATCATTCAGATAATGACTAAACATGGGAAAACTGGACAAGAAACGCGCAATTTGACTTTTATTCTCCATGTAATCGAACGATAGAATGGGATCATAGGAATCTAAACGAAATATGGTGAATATAAGCACATTAAACTGTCATTCACTATGTAAGCCTCTAACCACAAAGTGTTTAGGGCATCTCCATTCTTATGTGTAAACTAAATCAGCACAATATTTATCAAGGAAACAAACAAATATAGAACTTCACATCATATAGGAAAAATCTAGATCGGTGTGTAATTCGGACAAACATCAAGAGAGATAAGTGCTTTGAATACTGGGCATTTGCGTCATTCTACGACTGTCCACTAGTTTCGCTTGAATACCATCACTTAGAGTTTTTAGATTTTATTTGGATTGTGATTTTTTTCAGAAAAACTTTTGCTTTTTTCATAAACACATTTATCACCTCACATATATCAAAACGGTACACTACATTATTTTATAAAAATTCTAAAAATAGCAATTCAAACAGGTTGATGTCTTTCTCGAAGGGAAACAAACACAATTGTGTGAATAGCTCCAATTCTTGACTCTCCAGTCTGTGGACTAAGTCAAGAGTTGACTCTCCACTCTCCAGTCTGTAGACTGAGACAGGAAGGTTCTTGACCGCAACTCGTCTTTCCACCCAATGAATGCCATACACAAATTAGGGTCCTTTATGGTGTGCGTCAATAGTCAAATGAAGTCTAATAAAAGCCTGCGAATAAACAAGGCTGAGGTTAAAGGAATAAACATCCGGAATACATGAATCGCAATTGTATATTGAGTAAATTGTTCAGCTGGCTCCCAAACTATTATTATTATACACTTTTGGCCCCTAATCTATAATATGTATCATTTAAGTTCTTAAACAATTTAATGTGTAATGTGCAAGCTTCTGACCTCTCTATCAACTTTTGCTATTTGAGCTAATGGAATAAAGGAATAAAAATGTTCATCCACAAAATAAATGAAGGGATGACAGATTTTTAACTCTTCTTTCTCTTATTTCTCGCGCATTCTCCCATCCTTTAGTCCTAATTTTTATGAGATTCTATATGAATGACGATAGATAGAGTGGTTTGATCCTTTTCATTCATCTTCTCCACATTTGTCTTTTTATTAAAGGACAATTTTGCCCCTCCATTCCATTAGATCAAACAGCACAAATTGACAAAAGAGCAAAAGACTTACGCATTGCCTTGTTTAAGAGCTTAAACAATGCATATTATAGCTTACTCATA